GTATCAAGTCAATGTTCAGCTTGTTGACTCTTAAAGAGTCATCGCCTTCCTTCACCATCTTCTACTCATCGTCCCACTGCTCCTTTAGAATTAATTTTTTGTGATGTATGGGGTCCATCCCCAGTTGTGTCTACTGATGGTTTTTGTTGTTATGTATGTTTTGTTGATGATTTTTCATGTTATATATGGTGTTTTCCAATTAAAACAAAAGATGAAGTTTATTCCATTTTTCTTCAATTTCATACTCTTGTTGAAAATGTGCTAAATTTTAAAATTCAATCCTTTCAATTTGATTGGGGTGGAGAGTTTCAACCTTTACACAATCTCTTTTCCAAACTTGGCATACACCATCGCATCACTTGTCCCCACACACACATACAATGGCACTATTGAACGATGACATCGCTCCATTGTTGAAACTGGTCTCAGTTAATTATCTCACGCCAATATTCCTCATAACTATTGGAACTATGCCTTCTCCACAGTAGCCTACCTTCTAAATCGCATTCCCACTCTCGTACTAAATAAAACCAGTCCCTACCAAATGCTTTTCAAAACCAAGCCCAATTACTCTTTTCTCAAAGTTTTTAGGTCAGCTTGTTGGCCCGATCTTGGCCCATATAACAAAAACAAAATTGAACCTTGATCTACATTATGTGTCTTCTTAGGATATAGTCTAAAACACATGAGTTACCTTTGCTTAAATCCAAAAACTGGACGTCTATATACCTCTCGTGATGTCATCTTTGATGAAAATCATTTTCCCTTCCATACTTTAACAACCCAATCCAAGCCCAATTCTAATTCCACAATTCTTCCTTTTATTTCACACGGCCCATTTCTTAATCCAAGCCCAAGTTCAAATCCAAAACCGAACTCCACTAACTCTCTCACACCACAAGCACATGACATTGCCTTTGACCTACAGCATCGCACTACATCATCCTCATCTTCTCCAAATCATTTGTCTGTCATCTCTCCCTCTTTTCCCCCCTAGTTTCTACTACTCACCCATCACCACCGCACCGTACTCATGCTATGGTTACTAGATCACAAGCTCAAATCTCTAGACCAAAAATCTTCACAGATGGCATAATCACATGGCCTCCACCTAAAGTTCTCACTGCTGCTAGTGCCTCGATTAATGTACTAAGCACTGTCTCAAGCCTTACTCAATACAAAGACATGGTTGCTGGTTCCTTGCACAAATCATCAGAATGTCATTGGCAATAAGTGGGCTTTTCAAATCAAGTACTCTCCTTCCGATGCAGTAGATTGCTTCAAAGCATGTCTTGTGGCTAAAGGTTTTTATCAACAAGAAGGGCTCGGTTACACTCAAACTTTTCCCCCTATAATCAAGCCCATGACCATCCGTCTCATTCTCTCTCTTGCTATTTCAAAGCGTTGGTCACTTTGCCAAATTGATGTACAAAATGCCTTCCTCCATGGCTCATTAGATGAAGAAGTTTACATGTCTCAACCACAAGGTTCTGTTCATCCTGACTACCCCAACCATGTCTGTAAGCTTCATTGCTCTCTTTATGGTCTCAAACAAGCTCCCCAAGCCTGGTTTTCTTATTTAAGCACTTGATTGATTGAGCTTGGTTTTGGTGCATCTAAATCTGATCCATCCTTGTTTATTTTCAACTCCACATCATGTCAAATTTATGTGCTTATTTATGTGGATGATATAATCTTAACTGGTTCATCTGACTCTGTTATTTCTAAGCTATTGCAAATTCTAAGATTTTCCTTTCAAATTAAAGATTTGGGTTATTTGAACTATTTTCTTGGAGTTGAAGAACACAAAGTGCCTGATGGAATTGTTGTTTCTCAACGAAAGTATGTTATGGATTTATTAAAGAAAACCAATATGCTTCGTGCTCATTCTGTTGCCACACCCATGGATATCAACACAAAACTTGACTCCATTGGTTCACCTTTTAAAAATCCCACTCTTTATAGAAGTATAGTAGGGAGCCTTCAATATCTCTCATTTACTCGCCTAGATCTTTCATATGCTGTTAACCGTGTGTGTCAATTCATGCATGATCCCAAAGATCACTATTGGACAGCAGTCAAAAGAATTCTTCGTTACCTTTGTGGCACCTATCACTATGGTCTTCACATTAAAAGGTTTAATTCACTAGATTTGTTTTCTGCTGCTGCTTCTTTTGCACCCTGACTTGCTTGAAGCCTTTTCTGATGCTGATTGGGGAGGATGCCCTATTGATTCACGCTCCACTGTCAGTTTTGTTGTTTTCTTTGGTCCCAATATTATTTCTTGGAGCTCTAAGAAGCGTCCCACTGTCTCAAATCAAGCACTGAAGCAGAATATCAATCACTGGCCAATGCTACAAGTGAACTCGTTTGGATTCAAAATTTACTTGGTGAATTGAATATCTCTCTTCCTGCAGCTCCTATGCTTTATTGTGACAATTTGGGAGCCACTTACCTTACAACAAATCCTGTCTTTCACTCTCAAGCCAAGCACATTGCATTTGACTACCACTTTGTGCGAGAAAGAGTTGCTGCCAAGACTCTACGAATTGCTATTGTATCTTCCCAAGATCAACTTGCTAACATTCTCAAGGGGGAATGTTAGCACACAGATACACACAGATACACATTCTCAACTTGCTGCCAAACCTCTTATTACACACAGATACATTTGGTTGCAATTGAGTCTAAATGTCAAACCTATACCTTGGACTCGCGGGGGAATGTTAGCACACCAACTGACTCATATTGTCTCAAGTCTGATGACAAGCCCAAGTCCAATGCCAACGCCCAAGCTTAACACAATAGATACTTTGTGTAGCACTTGTACAGCTAAGCCCTAAAAGATTTTTCTAGAATAGCTCACACTTTCTATATATACGTTGTAATTGTTACTGCTCAAGACAGTGAAATATATTAACAATGTTTATTCACTTATCTACTAGTCTTCTCTTTCTTTGTTGCCTTCTTCTTTTGAATATCTAAACTTGAAATTTATTTTTGGCGGTGCACGACTCTTCAAGATCCACATGAATAATTATATTGCAAGGCCCGTGTTAGTTTGTGTTTGTTGTCTGTATATCCATGCTTAAAAAGGAGGAAAAAATGAATGTTTGTAGTGTATTCATTCAAGCTTTCTTATGTCAATTAAACAACGTCATATGCAGGGTTAAACTTTCCAGGTGCTGGTTGTTTTGATCTTCTAGGACAGATTTTTTCCTCCAACTTATGATTACTGTTTTACAACTAGCTTTTAAATCGCAAGCATATGACAATTGGTTTCCATTGTAACAAACAAAATAATGAAGAGGTATTGATATAATGATTAATAAAATTACAGAACAAAAACGTATCATAATATGCCAATACGGAAAAGATTGTTTCATAACATATCTTTAAGCTTTTATTTATTTATCTACTTATTTATTTAATGTTCTAATTTAGTTTTAGAATTTCAAATTTTGATGTCTAATTTGCTATCAGCTTTCATTTTTTCCTCAATTCAATTTTATAATTTTACCATATTTAAAGAGGTAAAAAACTTTCAATAAACATATTAATAAGATAGCATGCTAAAATTTACAAAATCATCCTTTTAAATGCATATAAAATTATTTTACCATATATAAGTGAGCCACCATGTTTTTAAAAAGGGACAATAACCAAAAAAAAAAAAGAAGCTAGAATTTTGTAAATACCAAATAAGGAATGTCAACAAAAATTTGTTGTCATTTACAAATTCAGAATTGTCAATACCAATTAAAGTTGTGTTACCAAACTTGATTTGGGATTTGTAATTTTCAGTTTCTTTTTCTGTCATTCTCCCTTTTAAAAATGTATACAAGAATAGAATAAGGACAAAGTTGTCCATAAAAATTATTTTTCCTCCCCTCCTAAACCAAACACGTTCACATCAAAACCCCTTCCTTCTCTTTCTTTTCATTAAAACCCTTTTCTTCTTTTTCTTTCTCTTTACCGTCATTAAAATCATTCTCCTTCCCTTCCCCTATTGACCCAAATCGGGCCTAAGAGCAGAAGGAGGGCAAGCAGAGTTCGCGATCGCAAGAGAGAGCCAGGGAGGTGACTTGGTGAGCTTGAGTTTGCCGTAGGTCAGATCTCTCCTTGTTTTTTTCTTTTTTAATTTTTTACCAAAAAATAAATAAATACTAAACGGATGGATAGCCTACCAATTGAATATTTTAAGGGTATGTTTGAATTGGTGTTGGGTAAAACTGACTTCTAACCACAACTGACTTTTGTAACTAAAGTTAGAGTAAAAGTTAGTTAAGGTATGTTTGGATAGGTGCTTTCAGAAAGTCAATTGAAAAAGTTAAAAGTTGTTTGGATGATTAATAGAAAAGTTAGTTTGGTTGTAAAATAACTGAAAAGGACATGAACTTTATTGAATAATAGTGTTTGAAATTTTATGTTTTTAATGTGATAATAGTTTAAAAAATACGTCAAATTATTATGATAAAATATAAATAGTTTATTTGTGAAAGTATAAAATAAAAATATTTGTTACGAAGAAAAATTTGAAAACACATTATAGATAATTAAGTAAATATACATAATGAACAAACATGAATATAAATTAAAATTTATTTAGTCTGAATAAAAACTCATTATGCTAACAAAAGAGATGAGGTAGAGAGAAAAATGTGAGGGTAAATCTGAGATGCTTATTTTTTAATAACCACCATTTGAAACTACAGTTGGAAAAGTCAGATTTTTCTCTATTAAGTCTAATTGAAGTTGAAGGCCAGAAGTTGATTAGAAAAGTTAATCTAACTCAATTTGCAACCTCAGTTTCACTCTTTTCAATGGACTTTTGGCGTTACAAATTGAGATCCAAACATGCTCTAACCCGTTTAAGCCCGCCTGTGTTTTTTTTTTTTTTTTGGCAAGCTCAAGCGGACCCAATTTTTACGGGTTGGGAGTAGGGGCAGGCGGGTTCTGGGTGGCAAAAAAGTAACCCAGTGACATTTTCATCGCTTGCATTTTTCTACAGAAGCGAGAGCTCCCTGCTTTTTCACTCCGTTTGGTCCCTCTACTGCTCCTGTTGTCTTCAATATCAGCTATTTCAAAAAAAGTTTGGACATTTGAGACTGGGTAAGCTGTTACTCTGTCTCAATTAGTGATTCGCAGCTACTAATTTCGAGTCCAGCTTCCTGGCTTTTATTCTTCATTTGAGTTTCCCGTTTGATTGATGCCTTCTTGCTAATTGATTCATGTATATGAGTATATCTGGAATTATATATCCTATATTCTCTATCGTCACTACACGAATATATGAAGCTCGGAAATTTGTTATATTGGAACTATGGCTTCGCAGCTCTAGTTCCACTGTGATTTGTTAATACATTTAAAAAAAAAATAAAAGTGTTCATAGTACCTTATGCCACGCTTACACAAAAAATTAGGTTCTTTTTGAAGTCGAAACCATTAGCTGCCTTGCCTGTGCGTGATGAGCTGAGAATTTTTCAGTTTTAATTAATTTTATATTATAACTGAAGCGTTATTTGTTATGAATATTCACAGTGGTACAATCAACCTATATGTTTGTGTATTTTGAATAATGGTAAAAGGGTGGAAAATAGAATATATGGGTGAGTTAAAATTATCCAGTTAACTAGTCATGCTGCTTTTTCCATCAAACATTATGTTTTTCTTAACTTGAGACTATTATGCTATTCTTTTTTTTTTTTTTCCCAATCAATATATATATGTGTGTGTGTGTGTTAGAATTGAATAATTCTTGCTTTTGATTAGTATAGATGGTTACTTTATGTACTCACACAACTTTCACAGCGGCAGTGTCACTATATGTTTATGCATCTTTTGAAATGAATAATGGTAAAAGGATGAAGAACCAAACATATGGGTGAGTTCCTTGATGAGGTTGGAATAAGATCACCCCCAGTTGTCACTGCGGTTGCTGATGAGATGCTTCTCTCATTATTGTTCTTACAGAAGTACTTGAAATCAGAAAATCCCAATGAAACTTGCAGGACTAAAATCAGTTGATGATGCTCACAATGACTCAGTGTGGGCAGTCGCATGGGTACCTGCCACTAGTTCCCGATCTCCCCTCCTCCTTACTGGATCACTTGATGAGACTGTGAAGCTCTGGAGCTCTGATGAGCTTGTCCTTGAGAACACCAGCACTGGCCACTGCCTTGGAGTTGCTTCTGTGGCAGCTCATCCACTTGGCACTATTGCAGCTTCTTCTTCCCTTGATAGCTTTGTTCGAATCTTTGATGTCGATTCTAATGCTACCATTGCCACTCTAGAAGCTCCCCCATCTGAAGTCTGGCAAATGAGATTTGATCCTAAGGTAAAGGAGAATATACTGTCAATGAATATGCTTGCTTGGTTTCTGTTTAAATGCTTTTGCAGTGAAAATACAGAGATACCTAAAATAAGTTCAGACATTGAGAAATTGTGAATTTAACTTCTTTTAAGGGCAGTTGAGCTACCCCAGCCAGCCTATAAAAATTAATTATCATTGTTAAGATTGATTTGAATATTGCAAGTATTCCCTGGCAGACTCGTTTACTGCTTCCTCTGAAACATTGCCTAACTTAACCTTTCATAGACTATATCTTTTCACTGTCATCTTATTTTTCCCCATTCTTGTTAGCTGTAAAGGTGTCTTTTGGCAGGAACTCTACATCTTCAGTTGATCCTTTTCCAACTAGTATCAGTCGTTTTTTGTCTATATACTAATTTGAGTGGGTTTAATATATGAACTTAGGCACACACTCCATGCATCTGATTTCTAAATGTTCTTCTTTCAGTGCTAAATTACAAAAGAGTGAAAAATGCTTGTATCGATTATCATGATTCATGAAGGAAATCAATGGATTATATTTGACGGGACTACTGGGGACTTCATATGCAGTAGATGAGTAACTTATAGTACACGGAGACGCACGAGGTCAATAACTCAAAATGTTTATTAACCTTGATAGCTTGGTCAATTTTTTTGGGTGAAAATTTGATTGCTTAATAATTGATTATAGCAAAGAAATCCTGATTTTTATATTCAACTTTTAATATTATGAAAGGTCTGAACCTTTTCTATATATGATGTGCCTTACTGGAGTCCCCAGAGTATGATCCATCCTGAAGACTAGTACTAAAATCCTTTAGCAATCCAAATCCTTGCCGTAGAGCTGCAATGCAAGTTTTACTGTTGGTGGTTAAACTATGAAATGTTGCATTCAATTTCAACAGATGGATCCAGAAATAGGGGTTCTAATTATGATCCAGGATTATTTGCGCATTTATGATAGGTTAGGTTATTCTCCTTTTTTATGCCATCATATGTTTCTCATTTTGCTTATTTCAAGCGGAATGGTGCTCTATATCTTTAGTATACAAGTTCAGTTTAGATTTTAGGAATAGTTGACCGAGTGTATCTTTTCCCACTCCTACAATCTGCACAGGTCGTGTTTATGTAATTTGTACTGGACATTTATATTTTGTTACAATACTAGACTAATCGATGTGGAAATTGATCAACGTTTCACTTTCATTCCAATCGTCCAATCGTGTACCTGGGCTCAAGGGGCACCTTCGTTGGGCATAAATGCTGGAGAGACCTACTGTACCTGTTTCTAATACACCACCCTTCTCCTCGCTCCCAACTTCTAAACCTTGTGCCTTGTATGTGATTTAATAATGATTATGATGATAACGACAATGATGACAGCGATGAATGTATGACTTCAAACCAGCTTGAATATATATTACTACCTCCGGTCTTAATTATAACCGCTAGTTGACTAATTTGAAGAAATCAAGGAAATAAGTTAAGTTAATTATTTGTAATAAATAGATGTTGTCTTTCCTAAAATATCCTTGCTAATCAAATGTGTTGCCTAAAACTATCATTATTAGAAGGACTATTTTGGAGGAAAAAAATGCATAAATGTGAGAGACAAAGTGGATTAGAGTCTTATATTTAGGACCAAAATAAAAGTCAAACAAAGTCTTATATTAAGGACCGGAAGTAGTATAGTCTTTCTTCTTCCCAATATCACAAGGGATTATACCAGAAAGGATTAAACTATCTGCTATTCCTTTTTCCCTTGCCTATCTTTGTTAAGCATGACATAAACATAAACATAAGAAAGAATAGCATATAGAATTGGAAGTGTTTGATTCTAACTGAAGTGCTGTATTATGTTTATTCTAATTGAAGTGTCTCATTGTGTTTGATACAAGTGTTCAACATTTGTGAAACTCAATATAATTATCCTTTCTTTACAAATATATGGTTGTTTTGCTTACAGAAAGTCGTCCATTACATATCGAGTACTTCTTTAATTACTTCCTTTACTTTTTTTTTTCCCCCTGTTCAGTCTTAATGCATGCCTTCTTTTGAACCCTTTGCATTTTAAGAACACTTTTATTTAACTCCACTGTCAGGGTGCAATTCTGGCAGCTGCTGGTGGAGCTAGTGCGTCAGTCAAGCTTTGGGACACTACCACTTGGAAAGTCGTTGCTGATCTAGCAATTCCTCAGCCTGAAGGACCCAAACCCACTGAGAAAAACAGCAGCAAGAAATTTGTCCTATCAGTTGCATGGAGCCCTGATGGGCAACGACTTGCTTGTGGGTCAGTGGATGGCACCATTTCTGTGTTTGATGTGGCCCGAGCCAAGTTTCTACATCACCTTGAAGGCCACACCATGCCAGTTAGGTCACTCGTCTATTCCCCGTCTGAACCTAGGCTTTTGGTTTCTGCTTCTGATGATGCTCAGGTCCACATGTATGATGCCGAGGGGAAAACTCTGATCGGAGCCATGTCAGGTCATGCAAGCTGGGTTCTGTGCGTGGATGTTAGCCCAGATGGGGAAGCCATTGCCACAGGATCGAGTGATAAAACTGTAAGACTGTGGGATCTTGGCATGAGGGCTTCTGTGCAGACATTGAGCAACCACACAGATCAAGTGTGGGGGGTGGCTTTTAGACCACCTGGAGCTGGAAGCAGCCAGGTGCGAGGAGGTGGTCGCCTTGCTAGCGTATCAGAAGATAAGAGCATATCACTGTATGATTATTCATGATGTAGGTGGTGGTATCTGAAGAACGAAGATGGTATCACTTGTTTCTGTAAATTGTGCCTTCCAAGAGGGTTCACTACTCACATCTTGATTTGAAGGGAATTCTTAGTTTTACTTCTACATGATGTATCATCATTACCTTGAACTTTAATCGCCAATTAGAGTACTTGGTTGAAATGGATATGATCTTATTATAAATATAGAGTGTTAGGTTTATTTTTCATAAAGTTAGGAAAATACATGAAAGGGGAAAGGGGCTCTTGTGGGTCGCAACTTTGACTTTCTATTTTGGAGAAAGAAGTAGAAAAATAGGGTTGCTATAGGGTGACTACGGTCAAGGGCTATGAGAGGGCTTGGAGAATGGGAAAGTCACTTCTTGGGGCTTATAAATCGTCCTCTTGGGCTCAACAGGAGTGGGGAGAATTGTGTATTGAACTTGGCCCTTGTGGGAAGGAGAGTGGCAAGTCTTGTTAGTTCATTGTGTTGTGTCTTGTTCTGTTCCTTGTTAGTTTGCAATCGTCTCTTTCATTGTGGTTTATATAGCTTGTGTATGAGGTGTAAGAGTCATCTGTTCCCTTTTGTTAATTAGGAAAACCATTATCAATCTCAAGTATCCTTACTCTCTCTCTCTCTCTCTCTCTCTCTCTCTCACCTCGCTGTAAGTCTGTTTAAGGAGGATCGTATCAGGGAGCATTGAAGCCTTTTAGGTCAGGGGGACCAAGGTATCTTAGGCTCTTTGCTAGACGCATGGAGCGGTCGAACAAAAATAAAATAAAAATAATTGACAAACAGTTCAAGCCGTGGATAAATTATATTCATCGTCTATGTTTTTTAGGGGGCATGGTTGTGAAGTCATTTCTTATTTTGTGTTAGATAGATTTTTAAAAATTAGATCCGATTGCCTTTGAAGAATCTCCCAAAAAAAAGAGTCATATTATTTAATATTTTTCAATTTTATAATATGATATAATTTGTCACTAATATATAAATTTTATGTTTCATGTAATTGTATTAATTGATAAAACAAATGCTAATTAAAGAAATTGTCTAAATTCATAAGGCACCCGCTCTGTGATTAATGCACTAGGATGTTGGTTAGTTTTTAAGATTTAAACCAGACCATCTAAATTTGTTTCTGCCATCAAACCCTCCAAATGTCCACTTATTTTTTTATTTATATAGCTGTGATTATGATTAACAGTGTAATTATAATATTCACTGAAAATGTAAATGAACAGAGAAGAAATGAATAGTTGTAACATAATACAATATTCCTTCTCATAGCAGGTGCTAGATTTGTAAATATTATTGAAATTAATTTAGTTATTTATAAATATATACAGTTATTTGCATCGAAATTATTTTTAAATAAAAACTCGCAATCAATACAGAAAATTTGTAAAAAAAAATTATACTCGTAATAAATATGAAATGATTAAATTCAGAAGCAGGAGGAGTGAGCATAAATGTATAACGGGCATAATTATTTTTTCTTTTATTTTTTATTCTTTTTGGTCCCCGCTAGCAGGAAGCAGGAGCAACCCTTATAAGGCTTCCGATTCCGCGGCACTCTTGAATCTCTGCCGCCTCCAGCTATAGTCCCTCAACGCCTCCAGCACCGTGCAACCTCTATCCCCGTCACCGGCGAAGCCTCGTCTCAGCTGAGTAATAGTGAGGAGGAATCCGCCTTGGGCTACTCAGCTTCAGATAAATTGGCAAATTCTCTGGCAGAGTTCAAGTAAGTATTTCGTTTTCTTTTCCACCTGGGGTTATGGGATTGAAGAAAATTTTTGTCTTTTCCTTATAATACTTCACTAGTGAAGAGCACTTCGATATTTCAATAGAAGAAGGCAGATTTGACTGATAGGCATATGTCATTAGTCATCGTTTAGGTCAGTGTCTTAGATATTGCAGGCTTGCATCCCAGGGTTTTTATCGTATTTTGGATTTTAATTTAAATTCTATATCAGCAAAATTATGTTTCAACAATAAATCTCTCCGACATAAAGAAAATTAAGCACGAAAATCCAACATTCCAGTTGGGAGCACTACAATTGTCTTACTGAAAATAACTCCCGAGGATTCCAGAGTAGCATACCCAGGCAAGCTTATAAATTCTTTTGGAGTTGGTGTAAATAATGGGAAAGAAAGCAAAAGGCTCAAGGAAGGGTAAGAAAGCATGGAGGGCTAACATTAGCACGGAAGACATTGAAGACTTCGTTGAGAAATCGACTAAGGATGCTCTCTCTGGTGGCCCTATGGACTCCGTTCCCAGCGAATCCCTCTATTTTGTCGACAAGTCTAAAGGCAATTACTCTTCCCTCCGTTTTTCGTTTCCCTTTACTGATATGAATGTTATCTGCCCGTTGTTCGGCGTTGACAAGCCTTTTTTCCTTTTTCTTTTTTTCTTTTTTTGTCGAGAGTCTATGTTTCAATTGGACGTATACATTTTCTAAATTGTTTCCATCCTATTCTTACATGCGTTTCTGTGGAAATTTGTGGTGGGGGTGGCAGACAACTCAATGATCTGTAAATTTTATGAATGAAGGTAGCTTGATTATGTTTGAATGGACTTGATCTATCTCCTCTTTTTGATGCCTTTCCAGCTTGGATTTTGGGGTCTGGTCTTGACTCATAGTCATAACTCCTTAGATCGCTTTCTTTTATTTACTTCAAGAATTGATTTTGAGGTGTGTAGTGACATGTAGTTTTCACTGAAAGCGGGGAAGGTGGGACCATAATAATTATTTGTTCAGTGCTTATTAGATCGAAATGCAGTTCATGTTTTTCTTTTTTAAATCATACCCCTTGGACATTTTTAGGTCGTAGTCATATTTTATGGATTATGTCTGATTTTGTGTTTGTGCTGAGCTGAAGTAAACTATACTTGCAGATCTTTCTGTGAAGAAGAAGATTGAAAAACATAGGGAAAAAGTACTCCGTTGTGACAGCTTGCTACAGAAGAATCCATTTTTAAACCCAGTGCCATCTTCAACTTTGAAGAAGTCTACTAAAAAGCACAAAGAAGTCCATAATGCAAAAGAGGCCACTCAAGATGACCTTAAGGTCAGTCAGTTGTCCATCCCCTAAATTTCTGCTAACGGCAGTACTTCTTTTCCTCCCTTCCCACAAAATTTCTTCAGAACTTGTTTAATTTACTTCTCTTCCATCTCATGTTGGTCAGGTTGATTCTGGCTCTGCTTCTGGCATGTTTGATCTTTGGGGAGATATAGGTACATTACAATATATACATGTTGCTATTCGTGCCTCTGCCTTTTTAAGTGATTAATATTGGGTTTTTAAATTTCACAGATGAGGACAGTGGCAAGGTCAAAAAGGTAAAAGTTCTATTGATTCTGTCTATGCCTTGATGCATTGATAGTTTTCTTTTCCCTTTATTGTGTTTTCTGTGGATAATTTGGTAGAGTTTGCCCAACAGGCGTCAAAGCCTTCTCTTATTCCAGCAGTAGAAGTTGATCCTCCTGGGTGCTCATTCAACCCTTCATTTGAAAGTCACCAGGTTCATTCTTGAGGAATTATTCTGTTTTTCTGTTTCCTCATCCTGTAAAGATTAAACATGACAAATTTAAATTTGAATTGTTCAAACAGGACACATTAGCTTGTGCTGTTGCACAAGAAATGCAGAAAATCTACAAAGATGAATTGGGACCTGAACCTGTACCATTAACTGTCACTGGAGAAGCTATTGCTGAGGAAGATGTGAGTCTTTTTTCCCCCTCATGTACTTAACTACTTACTGAATTTATCGATGTTGAATTATGATTCTTAGAAGAATTATTTTCCAACATTCATAGCCTTGGATGTTGGATATGTAACTTTACCATCTATCATTTATGTTCCTACCTTGAAAGTCCTTCTTTGATGGTATCTTATTTGGAAAGGTGATCTGCCCTTCATCATTTTCCTGAACTTTGTGATGCTTGTGTTTGTTCTTTAAATTGTCCTAATCTTTACCGAAAATCCGGCTGCTACATGCAAATTTTTCAGAGGTATTTTCTTGACGTGGATGATGGGAGTGATGATGAGGAAGAGGATCTTGAAAATGAGGACACTGAATTGGAGAAGAGGTAGGGCATCTTAGCTTTAATTAGCCTGATCATCTTTTCACCATGTTGTGATAATTTGCACATACAATTCAAATAAAATAGTTTTCTTCCTTTTCACTTTTGGCACGTGGCATATACTTTTTTCTGTGAATTGATTTTGACCTTCTACTTCTTGATACTAAGTTTGAAGTCCTTGTACTAAGCTCTTTCAGTCCTTCTGGATATTCTCTGGCAAAAATAAAATAAAAAAGGCCTTCTGAACATTCGATCGGTTTTTTTTTTTTTTTTAAAGGACTAGCTGACTTGTTATTGTAGTTTCTTCTTTAAACATTAATTGAAAGTTTCACGTGTAAGTTTACTCTGTTTGTTTGGAATACATACCTGATGCTTATGTGCTTTACTTTGTATGTAAGTGTTAAAAACAGTTGATTCTTGCATCAAATCATCGAATACACTTTTATTTACTCACCGGATAAGTGCCTATCATTTCTCTTATATGAACCCAACGGTTTCTGAGATGCATAGCTGATGAATTACATTGTTTCAACAACTATGGGACAGGCCTACTAAAACAAAAAGAGTGACTCGAGTTGAGTTGAACAAGAGAACAAGGCGCAAAGAGCAATTAAGAAAAGAAGTGGAAGCAAAGAAATTAGAGCAGTTGTCAAAAGAAATTGATAGGTAATATATAGTCTTTCTGTTTCTCCCTCTGAAATAATAATCATGAAGTTGAGTGACAATATGGTCATTGTTGGCTGCAGCGTACAAAATATCGTTCAAGAGATTGAGAAGGAAGATGAAGAGAAGCACAAAAAACGTCTCAGGCGACTTGTTGCTAAACAAGAGAGGCTGAAGTCACGTCCACCTCGTTTAGGAAAATACAAGTAAGCAGTCTTCTATTTAATTGGGCGTTAAGGTCTTACAAGTATTCTTTCTTGTCTAGTGTGCACTTTATTTTTGCTACCGGAAGAAACTAAAATCCATAGTTACGACCTTTGAATCTCCATTGAATAGATTTGAGCCTGAGCCTGTTCAAGTTCTACTCTCTGAAGAGATAACAGGGTCCATCCGGAAGATCAAGGTAAACTCGGAAATCTCTTTCACCTGGAGCTTTATTTATTTAATTATTGGGGTGTGTCCACCTGTTTACTTTCATCATCAACAGCATTCTGATTGATTTCTATTGGTATGAAGGCTTGTTCCACCCTGGTAAAGGATCGATATAAAAGCCTACAGAAGAGAGGATTGATTGTTCCAACTGGCCGAAGAAGGTTAGTCCACAAACTGCCCGTCTGCTTCTGAATTGTCTGTCACATAAGAATGGCCATTAGGTTTCTTGATATTTTGTGGCAGAATAATATTGCGGATTTGATTTCCCCCCCCCCCCCTTTTACGTTCAAGTATACGTGTGATCTGGGGGAGAAATGCATTATATCTCATTCATAATAGAGAATTCAGTTTAGAGTGATAATACTTGGCGTGTGCATTGGACAGGAAGCTAGGCAGGAAGTAGACATCACCTTATATTTCGGGGGAAGAGGAAAATGCAACAGATGCATGAAAGATGAAGATGATCTATCAGATGCCAATTTTGTTTGTCTTTTTATTTGCTTTATACCCTTTTGTTTTCTCTAGTTTATTCTCCTTGTGAAATCAATACTGCTTTGCGTGTTTGGATAACTAAGATTCAAAATGTAGTTTAACTAATGTGTTTTACTCCGATTTCATAGTCAAAGTTACAACAGAATATATGGTGTAACACCGCAAAACTTCTACAAGATTATTTTATATTAATGAGCTTAGATGGGAGTATGTCCCAAGCTCCGTGATGTAGCCTAACGTGCCTAATTTTGGGTCTGGTTTAAACCCATATGTCAAAAACTAACCTAATTATGTTGACCGGATTGGTGAATCAGGCCGAAGACGAATGCAGCAGCTTGCCGCTCCTTAAATGCCCAAGAGGTCCATCTGGCCATTCACCCACCATCATCCCTGTCATAATAATGATAGCCCCTTTTTCATTTGATATTAATGTCTCTCGTTAAACACATAACTAATTTCAAATATTTCTTATCAAATTCTCAATGAAAATAAATTCACCTTGAAATTTTCAGTCCCTCTGCCTTTTTTATTCAACGATTTTGAATAGACAACCAAGTTTTACTTCGAGTCGTCTTCATCATTTAGAATATTTATTCGTCATTCAAACGAATGAAATGTACAGTAATATGTTCAAATTTTAATATAAGAGTTAATTAACTAATTTAAGTAGATTAAGGCGGATTATTGAGTTAGTTATTTGTAATACTTGTTTTTTTTTTTATAATACCCTTACTAATTATACATATTAACAAGAACTATCATTTAATTGACCATTTAATATGTGTGATTATTATAAGAATTATTTTGTAAAAATAAAAAAAATATGAAAAATAAAATATATTAAAATTTTGTATTTAAAATCAAAATAAAAATTAAATAAAACGTTATATTAAAAAGGCAGAAAATTGTGCGTCTTCTTGGGGAGTGAGGATGAAAAGCTAGTTTGTATAACCTATTTTCGTGTCCCATCACCAACGCCCGACCTACCTTTAATTTTTATGAGAAAATCACAATTAAAGACCCTAAAATTTGAAAAACACAGATAAAAGCCCTTGATAATTTTACTATGACTTTTGATAATAATAATGTCACGAAATTGTTAAAAACTACAGTAAAATTGTCACACATCCTTATCTGTGTTTTTTAAATTCCAAAATTTGTTTTTTATGATTTCTCCAATTTTATTTATTTATTTTCATTCCGTGGATGATGAGAGCTACCTTTACTAAACCTCTATTGGGTTAAAGGGTATAGGGACATTACGTTGTTTTCTGATTGTATAGAAGCCTTAAACTTGCTTACTAAAGGCTGCGCTAGTTCTTATCCTTTCAGAGACATAGTTGAAGATGCCAGATTGTTGTTACATAGGGAGTGGCATGTTTTGATTAAACATACTCCTAGGGAATATTTAGGGTTAGCTGACTTTCTAGCAAAGTCTTCACACATGATGGTAGGAAATTTTTGTATGCTTGATCAACCTGCACCCCTAGAACAAGAGGAGGAGGTTGATGAAGCAGATTAGGTTCCGCTTTGTTGTAATTTCTCCCCTTTATTGAATACAGTTTTCTATTAAAAAAAAAAAAAGTAGACTGTAAAGGGTCCACCTCACTTCACCAAACCTGACAGGGCAGGTTTGGGTTTTTAAATTCGCCGATTAAAATATCGTGTTGTACGGACAAAACTCCCCAAAACACTATCTGACCAACGCAGGCTGCTATGCGACATGGAAACCATTATATCAAGTTATGAACTCGTATTACAACTTAATAAATAAATAAATTCAAAAAGATTTGATAAAAAATATACTAAACATCCACGAGTAAGTCTCATCAATGCATTTCCACGTCAACCCATAAATGATTTCCCCAGTCAATTTTCTTGCCAACCCAATCTTGGAAAATTTTCTCTTCTCTTTTCAGTTGCTACCAGATAAATTCAAAGGCAATATTGTAACAGTCAAAAGATGCTTCAACACAGACCTAAGCAGGATACCCAAAAAAATTTTAATAAAAAAAAACAATAAGCACTAAGTACTAAGTAGTACTAAGCAGCCTTGCCTGACTATGCAACAAAATATCATCAATCAGACTTCAGCATATGCCATGAAAATATCCTATGTACAATCTCGAAAAACTTGTAAGCATGTACTTGTTCCCAGTATATACAAAAGGAGAAAACAAGAACACGATGGAGGATGCATCCATAACAACATAGGTCCAAGCACCATATTCTACTAGTTATTCCCAAAAACGTAGAAAAACGGTAAAGAAAGATTGTTCTTCAGATCCAATGAGCTTGCTCCAATGTGGAAGAAGAGCAAGTACAAGTCACGTTGTCTGTAATTTATGAATAGTCAGATTCTTATAAATTTTATACTACCTCCGGTCCTAATTATAAGACTCAGTTGACTTATTTGAAGAGATTAAGGAAGTAAATTAAGTTAGTTATTTGTAATAAATAAGTGTTGACATTCCTAAAATATCCTTACTAATTAAGTATATTGGCTAGAATTATCATTATTAGAAGGATTATCTTAGAAAAAATGTATAAATATGAGAAACAAAATGGATTGGGATCTTATAATTAGGACCAAACAAAAAGTCAAACGGGATCTTATAATAAAGACCAGAGGTAGTATTATATATTGTTAGTTTCTGATAGATTGAAGAACTTCTCAAGGGAGAGAAAGAGAGAGATCAGGACATAATCTAGGGAGAGCAAAAACATAAGATAGGCGTGCGCAAGGTTCCCCTGCCAAGTGCCAAGTCTCTCATTCCTTTAGAAGTTTACAATAAGCCTCCAGATCAAACACCGAAAATTTGAATCAGACACCACCCTACATTCTCCCATCCCACAAGCTCCTTTCAGGCACAAAAGCCTACTTCTATGATTGCAGGCTATTGAAATGAGCAGAGGTTCAGAGAAAATAATCGAAACATCACAAGGATCACATTGATAATGTTTTTCTTTCTTTCAAAAGAAAGATCACGTTCCACAATCTCAATATTACTGGAAAGAAAATGACCATCCAGTTCTGTACAATGATTGTGCTTTGAAAACACTCCAGTAGTACAGGGAGCAGATGATTTAAGTTGGTAATACCTGTCATGGGCTCATGGCAACAAAAGAAAAAAGTGAAGAAAGTCGTCATTTTTATTGGAGGAACAGTACAAATAGAATAAGGAACAGCAACAAAGCTCTGTAATATTTTTAAATTCTATTAATAATATTGCAGTATCCATGAATAAAGAGCTTTTTAAGCAAGTACACTTTGTATGAACTGTTGGGATCATCCAAATCATATTAAATTTGCACTTAGACAGTAAAGAACGGAAACCTCCTGACAAATCTGTCAATGGTAGCTGTTGGTCGTATGAGAAACAAACTACGGAGCAATTTCAAGTCTGGGCTCAAAGCAAAAGCCAGTGAAAAGCTGCAGTGGAAACCTTTTCGTCACCGGACACTTCTGCGACCATTTCCATTGCTTATGGTTTATGTCAAATATCAGAAGCGCTGGAGCTCCATAACTTTGAATGTATATCAGATCATCCGTACCACTGCTAGCGAAGACATCATCAAGCTCTCCAAATCCTTGGAAGAACCTGTGAGGCATTCTAGCAATCTCATCCCATTTCCTATCATTTAGAACCCAAATACCAATCCCCTTTATTATGTCAGGATGATCTTGTTTACCAATTCCTCCCACCATTACAAGCTTCTCCTTCAGATTCATCAGACGGCCACATGTTAGAGAACAAGGTACTGGAATAAAGCTCCTCATCAAGGTGCCATGAGTAGAACGGTTGGAGATGTCATATGCAATTAGGGCGTGGCGATTTTCTGGCAGAACACCCCCAGTTGAGTAAACTAAAAAGTAAAGCACTCCATTGCATATTACACTCTCCTCACCACCTCTCCACCCATTCAACACCTCTGTTAAAGTAGTCAGCCAGGTCACTCTTTCTGAATTGTATATAAGAATTGAGATGTCCCATTGGGAAAAATTTTCAGGGACTTGCTTTGATCTTATGATTGCAATGTTATAACTGTGTGATTCCCTGTTCACTGAGATTGCTAATGCACTGTAATCAGAAAATTTCAAAACCGGGGGCTCTTCAAGCTTTCTGGAACATCTAGTAATGGGGTTGCAAACACGTAATTCACTTCCACTATCTTTGTCCATGAAGCAAACCAGGCCACATGATGAAGCAATGGACCAATTGGAAGTTTCAATGCAGGGAAGTTTCATGCTGTACCATTTCCGAAGGATGGGGTCAAAAGCATAACCAACTGGTTCATTAGAGCTTGTAAACATAAAATACCAAGGCTTGTGTGGGAGTACATGTGAAAGGTGCCAGAAAAACCTTTCTGATGTAACAATCTCATGCCACCGTTTACACACAGAACCTGCTCTGAAAATGCTGGCAATGGGGAGATAGGCTAGGATTCGTTCCAATAACTCATCAGGCAAAATCATATTCAAATCCAGCAAAAAAGCGACAGCTCCATTATCATCTTCATCACCAATTTCTAGAAATGAATTACACTCTTTGGCCTCCTTCGTTGAGTCATCACAGTAGTGGCTGACCCATGATGTTTCTCCAGCCATAGTAGAGTTAGAAGGAAATACCTAACAAAAACATAGAAATAATAAAGGATAAGGGTAAATATCATCTGAGTATTAGATGCCATATAAGAAATTCACCCAGGGGTCAGTTAATTGGAAGTAGACTAGATCATGAAGATATAATATCCATTGTTTGAACCATTGAAGATGAACATGTATCAAAAAGGGCACGTTCAATTCCACAGCTCACATTACAGTGGATACAATGGAGAACGTAAATAAGACTATATTCCAACCCCCCCCCCCCAAAAAACGGTTTTTTTTTGGGGGGGGGGGGAGGGTTCCCCCAAACGGGGTATATCAAGGATGATGGGATTAAAATTTTTATTGGAAAAAAGAAACATCAGATCTTCACAAAAGGATAAAGATATCAAGAAAAATTCACCCACTTTTTTAGATGGGGTCATATTAAGTCTGAACTTGAGGAGAGGAAAAATGCATAGCCACAGGTTATTTATAGTCCGTGTATTTTATGAGTACACATCAGGAGTTTGCCTAAAGAATGATATGGAAACTATGTCAACACATATAAAAGAGAATATCTGGGCTTGTTCCGGTGCACTGGGTATGATGTGAAAATCATTTGGTAAAGCCACTAGAAAATTACTCACCTTAGCCACAATTCAAATGTTTGTTGTAGACTGCTAGGTAAAGCAATGCAGGACCATAAACGGAAATAAAGAAAACAGTCCTATACATCACAACAACACTAAGAGAGAGTAAAGCAAACAGAAGGTATACCCATATATTCCGGTATCATATAAAATATCATATTCTGCTTACCAATTGCTAACTCCAAAAGCACACTCAAAGTTCTACATGCTTTGCAGATTTACACAGATATTTCATCTCAGCAGTAGTAAACCCAACGATGAAATTTTGTTAAACAGAAAAAAGAAAAAGTAACAAATTTTCCATGCGATGCAAGATCACTTAAAACTCCCTACAAACAGAAGCAGGCATTGCAACTCACGGGTTCCGCACAATCAGTGAATATATAAGTACTCATCCAGAACGAAGAAATTATGTGAAAGCCAACATTTTTTAACCCAACTTTCCCAAAAAGGACAAAATGGTCCGTTAATCCTAAGAAAATTTCCACCGTGATCCTATCATCAAACCCTAAGAAGGTTGATATGGTTCAAACAAACGGCACAGATGGGCAGAATAAATCGAATGCTGAATACCCCATCAAGCAAACACAAAATCCACAAAATCCTGAGAGCTAAAGATTTATAGCCACCTCAAAATAGTAGCATATCTCAAAAACATATACAGATCAATGAAGACAGAGGGCCGAGAAATTTTTTCAGAAACATTTCGTATCTTAAAAAGAAAAAAAAAAGAGTCATCTTGAGAATTGCAACCAGTCACATACATACACCCGACTTACTAAAAGATGTAGCCCTCTTCCACTGTCACAAGGCAACTGGACCTCAGCAGATTCAGCGAGTTTCTAGGATTACAGACAAGGCAAGAACAAATGGGGAAAAGAGACGTTATTGCGATTAATCATTCATCGAATATAGCAATTCACAGAATACTCAGTAAGCAATGGACTGAGGGAACGAAATGGAATGGAGTACGTATAATCTTCCTTCAAATGGAAGAACAACGGAATGATGGGTTGCTCTAGATTTGGTTGACAAAGAAGGCCAAGCAAGAACACAGTGAATTAGAGAGAAAAATGAGAGAGAAGTGAGAGACCGAGAAAGAGGCCTGTTTTTATTGTTTCTTTTCTTTTTTGGTTCCTTTTTTTTCTTTTTTATACAAGAAAAACGACAAGCAAGGAATGAGGTGTAAGGGCGGGTTTTCTGTAGGAATGGTGCTTTTTGTTGGCGAGAAAGAAGCGCGTGATCGCGCGTGTTTTTCCCCCTTTGGGTCCGATTTTTCATTTTTGTAAGGGAAGGTTGAGGTGTCATTCAACGTGAACGTAGGTGACAATATTTTTTTTTTCATAATTAAAAAATTAATAATACAAACTTTACTCTTCCAAATTTATTCTTATTTTGATTTTAGTCTCTCTAATTTTAAATTATATATTTTGGTTCTTTAAATTTTTATTTAAAATATTAGTCCTTAAAATCTAATAAAAACTTGAATCACTTTGACTCTTAAGAGATTAAAACTTATAATTTGAAATTTAACAGACTAAAATCAAAATAAGAATAACTTAAAAGAACAAAAATTATATTAACCCGTTTAAAAAATATCCGGACACCTTGGCTTTGGCATTTCGAGCGTTACGCAAAGTCACAAACTACGAAACAATAAATAATTTATGCTAGTAAAAAATTATGATGTTTATTATTTGAGTTATAATTAATACTCCTCCGGTTCTTAATACTCCTCCGGTCCTAATTATAAGACCCAATTTGACTTTTTATTTGGTCCTAATTATAAGACCCAATCCATTTTCTCTCTTATATTTATGCATTTTTTTCCAAGATAATCCTTTTAATAATGATAGTTTTAGCCAATATACTTAATTAGCAAGGATATTTTAGGAATAACAACACTTATTTATTATAAATAACCAACTTAACTTACTTCCTTAATCTCCTCAAATAAGTCAATTGGGTCTTATAATTAGGACCGGAGGAGTATAAGATATATTTAACTAATTTGATTAGATTAAGAAAGTTAGGTAAGCTAGTTAATTATAAAAAATATGACATGTTTTTCTTAAAACACTATAATCATATTTCTTAATATTGTATCTCCCTCTTCTACTTGATTATAGTTAAAAGAGTATATATATGAGTAATTTAAAAAAATTGATAAATATAAGACCTGACACAGGTCTTATATTTAGAATCAAAATCAAATCGAAAATTAGGTCTTACATTAAGGACCGGAGGAGTATAATTCATAACAAATTTTATATTATTATATTAGTGATATAAAACGATATATATATATATATATATTAATAGAGCATATCTAGTTGAGAGAGATTTTTCTTTAATTTTTATTTCTCAAGAAAGAGACTGGTTGTGGAGGATACTTTTAACTCCACTAGAACATAGCATATTCAATTAACTTGAGCCGAACAAAATTAAGGCTATTAACAACCTCTGTGTGTGTGTGTGTGTGTGTAATTCTTTCAGGTTTGTGGTAGACAAGGCAATCAATATAAATTAGACTATTAATATAAAAAAAATATAAAGAAATACTTCGTGCAATAAAAGGAAACTATATTAAACTCCTAGCTAAGATTTGAAGAAGCTCTAATTCAACTGTTTCGAATTTCGGTTAAAAGAAGTGCCCTCCTATAAGAAGCCATGTGTACGACAATATGTAGCATATATTATACTGTTGCATGAAATATCACAAGACATTAATAATTTGTCTTTGCCATGCATGGAAAATCTAACAAAAACACTATCGTCTTGTATGCTGCATCTACAGATAATAATGAAGAAAACAAAAATTGTTTGTGTTTGTGTGTATAAAAAAAAAATTTAATGAGGATTAGAGCAGACATATATTTTAAAAAAAAAAAAAGAGAAAATGGAGTCAGACTCACATTTCCATTTTGACTTGTTGCTTTTCTCCGCTTTTGCTGTTGCAATTGCATGATTCCATAGCTTGCCGTAACAAAACATTATATATATACGCACTTCGTTATTAATTTCAAGTATACACTTCGTCAACTTCCACGAACAAGTTTTGCCCTAAAAATCCCTTTCATGGCCGAATCCTATCCTCTTAGCCGTCTGTATCACTAAGATATTTGCTAAATCCTCAATATTTAATCATAAATTATATATATCAATTAATATATATATATATATATATCCTTGTTAATGTTAAAAGATTTCTTGTTTTCATACATACATACATGCGTTAACTAAGTAGAGCTAGAAAAGGACAAACAAAGCCGCCATCTTCCAATGCGCCAAGTAATAGGGAAACCATTTTTATTGAAAATTAATGTGTGCGCGCATGACCCAATTAATTAAATTTGTGTTTTTTATTGCAAGTAACATTGACATGTAAACGGTAAAACCATGATGCTGTCTGCGATTCTTAAAGTTTTGGTTTCCTGTTCTTCAATCTCTTTCTTTGCCGACACAATAGAAGCTGCCCCAGAATAAAACAAGGACAGGAACGGCTTCTAATCTCTCTCTATATATATTATATACAAATTAAATGCTTAATTATAATAATCTTAAGTAATTATCCATTTTTTTATACCAAAATTTTAGGAAAAGGATTGGGCTCACCCACAGTCTAAAGGCAAGACACCTAACGCTTGATCTACTGAGACTTATCCCTACGAACATGAGACCATAACAAGCAAGCCCTTTTTTTCTAGTCCAAGAGGTACTGTCGGATTCTCCTAGTTTTATTACACTTTGGAGATGCCTCCTCCAGCGCTGTGACTGGAGCCACAACAAAGTGACACTCCCCAGGATTGAACCCCTTCCCTTTGATGAGAGTGTCCGACCCCTTCGTCAGCTAAACCCATAGACCAATAATTTAGTCTCAGAAGATGCAGCGACCACCAATTAATTTGCTCACTCATTTCAGTGTCATGTTTTCTTATACTCTTCCGGTCATAAATATAAAATCCTTATACTAGTATGTATAAAGGTCTTATATTTAGAACCAAAAGAGTATATTATATATATAGTCGCTAATTTTTAGGATGATGTTACTTGTTGGATGAAAAAAGGAATATATAATAAATTAGTCCGTTTCTCTCTCATTCATTAAGTAAAAACATTATTTCTAATTATAATTAACCTAGTACAATTCAAAAGATGATTAAATTGGAAACGACTCGTTTTGTCGAGTGAAAATATGTACTTTGAATTTCTTTTCTGTAACTGCTACTATTCTTAAAGTTGAGCTGATGAGGTTGATTGAAACCCCAGACTAACTAATAAATCAGAGGAACAACAGTCCTAAAACCCAAATTATAATAAGGTGCACCCAAAAACCTATGTGAGGACTAACTAATATATTATAGTTAACTGAGTTTTAACACCAAGGTTTTAAAATCAAGATCACTACTCTTTGAAGTGGGTGAAATTAAACAATGCTTCAAAGGCTCATGGTTAGATGTTCGAACAGGAGATCATGATCAATTTAATATATATTTTAAGTTTTATATGTTAAATATATATAACAGTAGAGGCCATATTTTATAAAATGTTATCGTCTTACAAAATTAAATTAATCAGATAAGTTTAAATAATTTTAACTTTATTATTATGAAACATCATTTTATTAGTGTATAAACATTGAAAGACAATAAGGTGAGAGGTTGTGTTCTCTTCAATTTAGTGTATAAACAGTAGTAAATATACTCATACTCATCAACAGAATAAAAACAACTCAACAAATATTCAACTATACATAGTTTGTTTTTTAAATATTTATCACCACTTTTTTTTTAACTCGTATACGATCACATATCAAATTATTTAAACTATTTTGTGCGTACTGTGTATGTGTAATGAGATCTTTGTGATATATACGCACATATATACATTGGCAGCAGCACTACTATATTAAGGACTGTTTCCAGAAAACGCATGCTGCTCTCTTTGTGCACCATAACCCTGTCCTCACTTCCTGTTACTTTGTTGAAACGTTCCCTCTACAAAATTGGGCTAGTCTAATATAAAATTTAATTAGGCTATTCAAGAATGCAAAACAAGCGATCCAAGTACTGCTATCCAGTGAAGAGCAATACGATGAATACATAATTAGACTAGGAAATCAACAATCAATAATAATATAACACACACATTCCTTAATTACAAGCAGCTTCTGGTGATTAGTGAATGATACAGCATATATAGCTGGATCGTGCTGTATATAAACACAACGGGCATTCCAGTTGGAAATTATACAGTGCTGGTGGACTTTTCAGACTGCACATTCTAGAAACCCTAATTGACCCACTATTTCTTTTGCAGCTTTTCCCTTTGTCATGTTTTAGCTTTTCCTAAACCTGTTTTTCTCCCTGTAAAGGTCACACGAACCAAAGTAGGTTAAAAGTTAAAGGAACAGAACGTTGATGATGACTTATTTTGTTCTTTTTTTTTTTAAATCTGTTTATTATATTATTTACAAGCACCACGATTGATTGATTGACTTCGATCTTTCTCCTTAAGACTCTCACTTCATCAGTGAGCGTCCATTTATCATTTATGCCTTCTACATCGATCTAACACCAGCTGTTGAATTTAAAATTTGATGGTGGATCGAGCTGTCACATAAAAGAGACAATTTAATTTAATAAATAAATATGACTTTAACTTGACAGATCGAAACCATTACATATTTACACTGGTTCTAAAGTCTTGTAGAGAAAAGCAGTGAGTTTCTTCTCTCTCTCTCTTTCTCTCTCTT